TGGGACACGTGAGATAATATTCGATACAGAAAAGAAAATACAAATCATATAGGATAAATTCATGGGGAAAAGCTGAGTTCTTTTAGATTAACTTATTTTTGTATCAAATATTTCGAAAAGCTCACAAAAAACTATAAACACTAAATTATCAATCAAAGAAGATGTATCAGATTAAGAATTTAGTGACCCAAAAACCCGAACCTAATTTTATCATCCTGAGAATCAGCATTCATCCGGATCATTTTTGACATGTTTATTTTATATTTCAGAATCCCTCATTTTTTCATGCCTGGGGTCCGCATCAGGGATTTAAAACAATGAACTTCATAGAAAATCCGGTTTGTACGGGAAAACACAATTTCGGACTTTTATAATTCCATCTGAGGGCGAAAATCGGGAGCGTCTCATTTCAGGTACTTTGTTTATTTTTCATTATATGCGCCTTGCAACGAAAATGAACAATAATTAAGTCTTCAAACGCATTTTTTTCACTTTTTGTCAATAGACGCGTTATAATGAGAAAATAGAGCAACTTATTTTCTCGTAAGCAATGGATAGTTTTTAATATGAATTTTATAATGCTTAAAAAGTTTTTCTATAATTTGCTCAATAGAGAACGTCTTATTCATATTTGTTACGGAGAATCTTATTGTAGATATTTTATTTACTTTTTTATTGTTGTGGCTATTTAAAAAAAAAAGTCATTTTTTTCTATTAAATTCATTATAGATTGATAGATTTTACAAAACTATTTAAAAGTAAAACTTACTAATCCAGCGGTTGTTAATGTCAAGAATAGTAAGGAACATTAGATTTAAATGAACTCTCATTTATATCTCATTTTAAGCACAATAAATGACCATTAAAGAGCTATTATTTGATTCAAACTTGTTGAATGTTCATAAGATCACTTTCTAAAAGCTAATCGAATTTTCAATGAAAACCGAGAAGATAAAATGCTAACAGATATAACTATAAGATCCCTGTTGAAACATGTCAACAGACTTCCAAAACACCGCTATTTTTCGTTTCATTTTCTCTACGAACACATCTAAAACTCAGTATTTTTTGTTGAAAAGATTTCAAAAAAGGAAAGCAAAGTAATATTTGTTCGACAGTAAAACCGAAATTTCAAAACCAAACAACAGAAATCTCTTCTAGGATCCTTTAGACAATGCTGTTTTACTTACAGGTAGCTCTTCAAAACCGAGCTTTCGAGGAAAATTTTGTTTCCCATATTCAAGATATTTAAAACAATAAAAGAATAAAAGACTAGCTGTCGCTTTGATTGAATAACTGAGATGATTTTAGAAGTAAGGACCGGTTTTTTTTACAAATCATTGATATCTCAATAATAGATATTCAAAGCGTCTTCGTATTGAACGTCTCAGTTCCAAGAAGATTCTTAAGTTATATAATTTCCTAAACAGTTTGATCTCTAGATCATTTGATTAATATAATTTGATAGTTTCGAATAAGTAACGTTCATAAAAAATTGTCGTGCTTTACCTTATATTCGCAAGATTTGATGACATAGTATAACTCATATCATATCCACTATGTGACGAAGTTATACATATATCAGATATATTCAGGAAGATTGATATTTACATTTAAAAAATATTTTTGACAAGATTAGTTTTGATAGAATGGTGGTACGGAACTTTTTTCCTTTTTTCTCTCTGCTCGTATAAACTTTCAGGAGATGAACTACGATATTACAAATATGGTCCTGCTGGGAAAAAAGAATGAGTGAATCAGATTATCGACATAATTTTAATCGATGCAGATCTACTATTCAAAAGTCTTTTGGGTAGCAGTTGCTTTCAGTCACAAAATATCCTATACTTACAGAGATATGTAGTGCTTCTGTCTATGAGCTACAAAAATATTAATCAAGTATCTACCAATCTTCAAGACTATCAAGTCATATCTGTAATTGCAGTAGAAACTGCCTTTTTGCTATAAAATTTTTAATCTACAACGATAAACCTTATTGTTATAGGAAAATACTTAATCTATCTTCAGTGGTCATATTCTAAAAACAAAAGTTTTTCTAAAAACAATGATAGTGATGCTTTCTTCAAAGTAATCACTTAGAAATCATTCTTACTAAGAAGAAAAGTTTTTCAAGATAATCACCACCTTGGAGCAATTCACTCTTTTATAGAAGGAAATTGGAGCAGAAATAAATATTTTTGAAATTTATCGGTGAATATTGATTTTGTACGAATACAATAACATATCACAAACGATATAGTATAAATATTATAGTAGATACTTCAAATAACAGGTGTTCCGTTCAGGACGAATATATAAAATGTGATAACAGATTTCTAATACCGGATTATATATATAAATTTTTAAAAATTACATTTTAGGTCGTGACTCTTTTGAAATAGTTGTTTGGAAATAAGAAAAGCAATAAAAATTATTTTGTAATATAATGTTTAGTTAAACTAACAAATAAAGTGGAATTTCTATGATTTTTTACTTTTTATAAAATATTTCTCACCTCACGGTGACAATCAAATATCGAATATTTTTCTTACTATCATTTTCGTTTCTCAAGCATTGCCAAAGATATATAAAATGCGCAATCATTATTTATTAATTAATTAATGCAAAAGAAGCACGAGCAGCATAAGCATTTAAAAGCTGAATTTTCCATGGAATTATTTTTTTATTGCTATTGCAATTCTCAAACTCTTAATAATAAAACAATTCGATTCACTTTGTATTCAATTCATGTGAGTTATATGATTATTTACTTTTCTTAGATTCATGATCACATTGTCTGCATAAGTATTTCTTGCATTTCGGTGAAGAAAGAAAAAACTATAGACATTCGAGTTTCATCTTAAATATCAAAGATAGGTTATTAGCAATCTTAGAACAGCGTTTCACTAGCAGATCTTCATTTTCTGGATGAAAAAGAAACTGAATAAAAACCTTTGCTAACATTAGGATAACTTTTTGCTGGAAAGAATAAAACAAGTGTTGTCTCTGTCTTTAGAAATCTTCTGTGGTGATCATAAATGTAAGAAGAAAATAATCATATACTTATTTGTAAAAAATATCTATTAAAAACAAACATTTCAAGCGTGAAGAAAAAATATTTTTATATATTTACAAATACTTGTTTACTTTAAATATAACTTAAACGAAAAAGTACCTGAAATGAGACTAAGCCGTATTTTATTTGTTATTTTAAGGTGAAAAAGAACAAACTTTCAAAATAGATACTTTTATGAACAAAAAAAAAGAATTTTTTCATTATTTTTCAATATGAAAGTGCATTCAACTGTTATCATTATCGGATATTGAATGTTTCATTTGTACAAAAACAGTGAAGAAAAATTCCTTTTATTAATTTTCGTGGAACTCACATATTGGATGTAAGAAAATAGTGAGTGTAAGCCTATAACATGGGATGCTCTAGAGTAGCTCTCAATATCTATCCGAACCAAAGCGTGATGATAAGACTACAGATCAATCGTTTCGACGCCTTTGAAAGCGATAGATATGCTGACAAAGATACTCGCAGTGAACTTTAACAATCGTGGTAAAAAAAATAGTGAATATGTTTTCACAGCAAACAAGAGCAGCAGGCACCAGACTCGTTTTCTATAGTTCAGTAACAATAATAAAACATTCAACAGAATTTACTACAAGGTTTAGACAACTAGAGAATACTTGAAAACTTGTCTGAAAGCTTAATGAGTGAAATATGTTTTTGAGTGATTTGAATCCGGCAGCGTCACAGGACGCATGTTCTGCAGGACATTCAATTTATGATACTTGGCACCATACTCATATACAAACAAGTTTCTATTCTTATCGAAAATGCAATGAAAAAGATCATCCTATAGGCTGAACGCAGGCAGGCTCTTTATCCGAAAAAATAGGATGACTGAATGATAATGTTCTGGAGAATGCAGGGCAGGGTAAAGAAAATCGTCCTATCATACTCTTTGTTCTGAATAGTGCAGTGGCTGATTTGTTTACAGACAGCTGATTATATGAGAGATATAAAAGAAAAAAGCTAGTGATCATTTAATTTGCCAGTCGTCATATGTTCAACACTAAAAGTATGGATGTTTCAAATTTTAACGTTCGGAAATAATCGATATCAGTGTTTCGAAGATTGCCGAGATACATAACAGCTCGTTGAGATCAGTTGTAGATATAATAGATGTGTACCACAGGGTTCATTTTTCATACCAAACACAAAAAAATAATTCTGTTCGAAATATTGATACAAAACAGATCGTTTTTCTGATGGTCGATTATTCTTGGAAAGAAGTTATCATGTGATAAAAAATTTTCACTGAACATATTCCATATTAGTATTATAAAGCTAGAGAAAACATCAGAGTTCAATATTTTAGCCCTAAAGGAACTGCGCTGATAAGCTTTGTATCTTCATGTTTAATTGGTTTGCATAGTTCACGCATACATGTTTTTATTTACGTATTAGTTGGCGTATACGTTTCTTATGCCGCTAAATGGAGTCAAAATATTCCAATCATCACAATTAAAAAAAGTCTTTATCTTTACTCGCATGATCAATTCAAATTACAACAAAATATTGCTTTTTTTAATAATCGAAAAACAATTACAGATTTAAATTTTGCTTTTTTTTCATTCAGTACATTATATATTTTGCAGAATTTATTTTTCAGTGCGAATTTAATATAGCAATAATCTCATCTGTACACAAGTACACCAAACAAAAACAAAAACTATGTACATAATAAATATCACTTGAAGAGTGAGTGACTATCAACATGAAAAAATATATGCACAAAAGAAACAATAAATGACACACCAAATGACTATATGAAAAAAAAATGAGAACTATTATTCTGAAAATGAGAACAAGCTAAATCTGATCGATGCCATATAAGAACAAGAAATTAATTCTGACTATGATGATTAATTCAATGGAATGTTCTGAATGAGACTAAGTACTGTTCTGACAAAGAAAAATCAAAACATTAAAGACAAGAAATATTGTCTTTATTTTTTGACGAAGATCTTCCACGTACATCTACGTTCGATTTTTGTTCTAATGAATTAAGTTCAACTCCAGTTAATCTTAGTGGTGATGTAGGTGGACGAGGAATTTCAAGACTATGATGTCGAGGATCATAGGACTAAAAATATAAAAATAATAAATTTTTGTTTAAATTAATGCCGATAAAAAAACATACCCCATGTTTGAGCGAAAGAGATCGAGCAGGTTTGAAACGTGGATTTGATGACGGTGTATGAACGGAACAAATTTTTACAAATATACTCATGAAACCAATAACACCTAATAGACCTAATACTAAAGCCCACCAATATTCCTAAAATAAGAAAATTTTAATATTTAATATTTCAAATTAAATTTAACATACTTGAGTAATTTCCGTCAGTGTACGAATATTTTCTTCATTAAGTAACATATTTTTCAATCGTGTTAATGGACCTTCAGCGTCAACAGCACGACATTTACCAAATACATCACAATATCCAGCCGTTCCAGCACAAGCATGTCCTTTTAATATATATATATATATATACATAGATTAAATGTAAATGATAAATAAAACTAACCAGGTCGATGTTTATAACCATATCCAGTTTTACTATAATTATTTGGCATAAGAAGAGCATGTGTATCAATACATGAATTTGTTCGTGCTATTAAAATAAAAACGAAAGTTTTCTCTTTCGTAAAAAAATTTATTAATCACTTACTATCAAAACAACCAATATGGCATAAGTATTCTCGATCAACACCACGTTGACGTAATGGTTCAACAACATTTGGTATAGTCAATGTACATTCAATTTTTCCAATTAATGTACATATACTTTTATTACATTCCTAATAGAAAAATATTCGATTTAAAATAAGATTTATCTTTTTTTCTTTTATATACAAACCCCTCGATCACATAATGCCGTATTTAGATTACATGGTGTATCGATCGGCTTAAAAAATTGTGTATCATTAAGTGGGCATGTTGTTCGAATACCACTAGAAACAGAAATAATTATTCATCATTGATATAATAATATGTATAACGGTGGAATCGGATAGCAAGAAAGTTAAAACTACATGCAGTATGTTACAAAAGTCAATTGTGTAATAAAACTGCAATAACTCTTCAATGATATATATGAGTTTTTCATCATGTCATAAGATATTTGCGGAAGTTTTATTTCATATAATTTCATCCATAAATATGGTTTCAAATGATCGGCATCAACATTCAGACATAAAATCTTACGACTAGAAACAATTGCAGAAAATCAGTGCATGAAGCCTGTTCCGAGACTGCAATGACCTTGAAATAAGCTTTAAGTATTAGTTTCTTACATATGAATTTTCTATGAAATGATGAAAATCACATGTGAATCGCTTGAATCGTTGAAAAGTTATTACAGTTTTATGTAACGGTTGATTTTTGGAACACATCGTTGATTAGGAAAATCACAGTAGGAGAAAAGTTCCTGACATAGTACTAAACACAGTTAGTTTTTCTAACTCAAACTGATCTGTGTAAGTTTTTGTGGTTCGACCTGACTTTGACTCTTGTTCGTTTTTTTAATTTTATTCTTTCCATGCTCTTCAATTAGCCTTGTTACATGAAAACTTAAGCTCACGGCCTGTTGGGAGTTGATCATCAAATTGATTTTTTTTAGGAAGACTAAGCTAAATTTAATAACTCATAGATCTAGCTTTAAGTAAATACACTTATCAGATGATATTATGATAAGAAATCATAATTGGTTTAATTTAGATTCATCAGCTAGAAGAGTTTTTATCGTTCATCAGCACCCTCAAATCTTTAGATTGTTTTTTTCTGCAATCTATGAGTAGCTAATTGTAATTGCTTTTCAGCGTCATCCTGTGATCTTTTTTTTCTTTCTAAAAATTAATTTTAGTCAAAGATAAATCAACATGTGTTGACATGATTTAATATTACTAATTGTTAACAGAAAGACGGCAAGGTGTTACATCAAGCACTGTTGCTATTGTTTAATATTGTTTTTTTTTTCTTTAAAATATTCAAGACCAACTCAACTCCTTTTTATATATATATCACATGATTGTTTACCATAGCATCATTTTTTTTTCTCGTTCTGCACATGATTGAAAGAACATATGTTACGCACATTGTATAGTTTATTATTGCTTATGAGACTAGAAAAAATCGTTTAGGCAAATCCATGGACTACCCAATATAAGAAGGTGCTCTGATTTTATCAAGATACATATCAATTAATATGGTATTCATATTAGTGAGATCTTTCTGTTTAGGAAATAACTTACTCGCATCGAACATCTCCAATACAATCTTGACTAGCTTTATCTTTATGACATATATGTGAAATAGAATGAAATGTACATTGATCAGAACAACATGGTCCTTTGGATGGACTAAATAAAAAAAGATGTTAAATTTCTAATAAAAACTAATATAAAATATACCTGCAACGAGCACCTGGTTTTAATTTACAACTTAATTTTGTATCTGATACATCAGCTGGATAACAACAATGATCTGTACATTCAGAAGTAAATCCACAATCACATTCTTCATCATCTTCAACATTTCGATTTCCACAATAACCAACTTTTAAACATTCTATAATAAAATAAAATTTTATTATTTTTTTCTTATACAATTCTTTTTTCTTTTTTTCTATGTATAAAACCTGTTAAACAATTAGTTTTTCCAAGGAGTTGATTTTTAACAGAAATCATAATAGGTCCCATTTTATTCATGCTACAATTAGAAAATTTATTGTTATTTTCTTCAAGACCAGTGGTTGCTCTTCCGTGCATTATATAATGACCATATTTTGCATCTCCTCCACATTTTTCATCATCATGCTAAACAATAAAACTCAAAGATTAATCAATATAAATAAAAAAGAAAATATTAAATTAATTAACTAACTTCAGCTCCTAAACTATGTCCAACTTCATGAGAAAATGTTAATTCTGTCATTAATGCTGATGTTCGCGTATTATGATTAATAACAGTTATCATTCCTGTATTAAGAGTTTTTATAACACGTTGTCCTTCATAGATATCTTTTACAGATTTTTCACAAATACCACCACGACTATCTAAATATAAAATCGATTATTTCAAAATTTTTGTGAAACATAATCTAAAAGGAGCATTAAAGTACAGTACTGGACAAAAGTCTCCATTCCAGTCGATCTCGATCACGGTATGTCTGAAAAATTATCTACACGTACTTCATGAAGAATATAGATCGATCATAGACATTGCGGTATCATTATTGCTTCATTACAAATAGATAGAATAAAACAATTTCCTTGTGATTAACAAGACCAGCTACATCATATTTCATATTTTTATCTGATCAGGATTGCCCTAAGTCTTTTTTTTATTAATTGTATTACAACATACTTGGTGCAATACTTCCCATCCATGCCAAACCTAATGTTCCATCACCAAAATCTCTTCCAGTAAATATATATGCTAAACAATATTCATCGAAATTTTCAGCTGAATGCCATGTTAATAAAACATTTGAATCAAGATATGGACGACAAATATTTGTTTCACTTAAACTTAAATTTTTTTGTTCACAATCATCAGATGTTAAAATCTAAATAATTTATTTAGATAAATAAATTAAATTAAATTAAATAATACTCGAATTCTTTTTATTCGTAATGTAAATCGATAAAGAAAATCATCATTTGATTCAAATTTTACTGAACGATATATTGCATTTGCTGCTGTTACTATTCGATATAAAAATGTTACAAGTGCATGAATAGTTGCTTCTTTTTCCTATATAATATTTAATTAAATTATCAATGAGAATATCAATAAAAATATATTTTTCTTACATTAAGTCCTTCATTTTTATAAACAATATCCCAAAGTGTTGGATCAATACGTATATACATATAACAACATGTACGCTCTCGATCTGTATTAGTTGTTGTTTGTCGTTTTGTTCGTGTATAATGAGATTTATAATCAAAATTATTATTACATTCAATTTTTTTTAATCGTTCTTTTTCTTTTTGCATTTCTTCTCGTATTTTATGATCATTTAATCCACAAAAAGATGATGATGACAATTCTTCATCTTCATTCATTATATATCGTTTATATCGAAATGCTTCATTACTGTTATATTTTGTCAAATCAACGTCAAGTGCATTATAAATTATCGATGGACCAAAGTCAATTAAAAAAACACCATATTTACGAGTTGGTTCAATGTGCCATGTTTCATTCGATAGTTTTATTATACCATCAAACCAATTTGAATAAAATCCTCCAGTAACATATGAAATTTCAGGATAATCTAGTAAAATTAATATCAAATCAAAAATAATTATATAAATTCAAAATCTTGTTTAGATCATGAAGAAAAAAAGATTATGTATGAAACCAATTACATGTAGTACACTGAGAGTTTACACTATTGTAGATCTATATTTTAGAATTTTATTTTAGCAATAGTCAACTCTGTACTTCTACTTGCCAAGAAGAAAACATAATCCAAGTTGTTTACTAGCTATTTTCAGATATAAAATAATTTCATTATATAAATTTTCTTATGAGAAAACTGTCCTACTAGCTTACTTGTTTTGGAGCCCTAAGCATATGCATTATGTAGACCCTAATAGATTATAAATAGCTCAAGAAGAGTTCGAACCCACAGCTTATTGCTGAGGACATATTGCATTTTTACAATATTTTTCTATAGAATGCTGTAGCCCTCCCCCCCCCCCCCCCCCCCCCAACAAACAAACAAAATTTTTTTTTAATTTTTAACTTACACTTTTAAACAAAAACTAACAAGAACAATTTAAACGGAAAT